CAGTGAGAGTGCATCCCCGATCATTACCTTTGTCCGACAAAGGGGCTGATCCTGTCACTATGATCACCCACTCAGATGAATTCTCAGACTATCCCAACATATCTAGGTTTTGAACCCCGCCAAGGATCTCACTGATTGGTACATCAAAGACAGCCCAATCTGACACCTAGTGTAGTGTCATAATTGAGTTTAGGGGTCGGGTGTAACATTCCAGTTTTGCCCATTAATCTCCAAGGTCCAGGGCAATACTGGAAATATGGTCCGGTTCAAAGATTCAATTAATCCTACACTGTATGTGCCTTGGGTCTCACCCTGGCAGCTGAGACAGGCCACCCCAACCGACTTAGTGGCACATCAGTGTCAGCCTTATCAGGATAGGTCTCCCCAGACCGACCCACTGGCTGTGAACATTCTAAACTAACGCGAGTCTCATTATGTGTCCAGTTTAAGGGTATTGCACAGAAACATACCAAAGGAACATGAATCAAATATGTACTTTATTTATTTACAATAAACTCATAATGTACATCATTCTGATTGAAGCTAAGGGCATACAAAAATTGTCTAACATAGACTTCATACCAACCTACTGTCTATTAGTTCTTTGACAAAAAATTTGAATTGTTCTATGACATTTCCTACTGGTAATTGTGTTTTGCAGGATCTGGAGTCAAAGAAGATGATTGGGAGTGGTTGTGAGATGAATAGAGTCTACCTTCTGGATGAGATTCCGAGACAACAGGGCCATCATGTTAGCAGCAGCAGTAGTAGCGAGTCAAAGTCAGTAAACTAGATTATGCTTTGGCACAATCGCTTGGGACATCTTTCTTTTAGTTCTTTGAAATGTCTTTTCCCAAAATTGTTTGAGTCTGTTCAATTATCTACTTTGGAGTGTGAGAGTTGTCAGTTAGGAAAGCATTATAGACAGTCTTTTAAACCAAGTAATAAAAGAAGTACTTCTGCTTTTAATATTGTTCACACTGATGTATGGGGGCCATATCAAATCCCTTCCATGGGAGGATTTTGTTACTTTCTCTTGTTTGTGGATGATTATACACGATATTCTTGGATATCTTTGATGAGATCACGTGATGATGTTCCTAACTTAGTACGACAATTCCACCAGATGGTTTTCACACAATTTGGAGTGAGAACTAAGGTTTTTAGATCTGATAATGCCAGAGAGTACTTTGAGAAGGACCTAACCACGTATCTCTTAGAACATGATGTAGTTCATCAGAGCAGTTGTGCATATACAACACAACAGAATGGAGTTGCTGAGAGGAAAAACATACACATTGTGGAGGTGGCAAAGAGTCTTATGGTGTGTGCTTCTATTCCTGTGCAGTTATGGGGAGATGTAGTTCTTACAGCCGATGTGATTAACCGTGTTCCTTCACAGACTTTGGGGTTTAAGGTGCCATTTAGCCTCCTTTTTCTAGATGGAGAGATATTTCATATACCTCTGAGGGTTTTTGGCTATGTTTCTTTTGTTCACATTCTTGGCCCTCATCGCAAGAAATTGGATCCTAAGGCCAAGAAATGTGTTTTTCTTGGGTATGCTCAGAACCAAAAGRGRTATTGCTATTATGACCTAGTGTCGAGGAGCAGATTTGTCACTATGGATGTTACCTTTTTTGAATCCACATTCTTCTTCTCGAGTGATTCTCCTTAGGGGGAGAGTTTTGGGGAGAACTCACAATCTGTTTCTCTTCCTATTTCTGTGGTGCCTCCATCAGTTCAGCCAGCATCTACATCAATTCACCTGCACCATCAGTTCAGCCAGCATCGGTTCAGCTAGCACCTACACCTCCAGTTTCATTACCTGAGCCACTAAGGGCAGCCTCACAACAATATCAGCGCCGGCAGATGATGGTTGACTACACATCTTCGTCACACCACCCTCTGTCAGTCCTTCTGAAACTCCAGATTCGACAGATACAGTTCCAGGTATTCCTCTTGAGCCTGTTATGTTTTCTGATGATAATGTTTTTGTCCCTAACACCATTATCACAGCTGATCCCACTGACCTTGATCTTCCCATTGCACTTCATAAGGGGAAGAGAAAGTGTACAACCCACTGCATTTCACACCACACCATCTTTCCTACAGTTTCTTATCACCCTCCTACCGTGCTTTTCTTTCTTCCCAGGATTCTATGTCTATACCCAGGAATGCTACTGAGGCTCTCTTCAAACCTGAGTGGAAAACAACAATGCAAGATGAGATGGATGCTTTGGTCAAAAACCAAAATTGGGAAATAGTTGATATCCCCCCAAACAAGGAGACAGTCGGATGTCGATGGGTAGTCACAGTGAAGTATAAGGTCGATGGCAAGATAGAGAGGTTACAAGGCAAAGTTGATAGCAAAAGAGTATACTTAGACCTATGGTGTTGATTATTTGGAAACCTTTGCACCAGTAACTAAGATGAGTTTAGTTCGTATTCTTTTATCTCTAGCAGCCACCTATTCATGACCCTTGTTCCAGCTTGATGTCAAAAATGCTTTCCTCAATGGTGACTTACAAGAGGAGGTATATATGAACATTCCAACAGGCTTTTATGAAAATGTTGGTAAAGGAAAGGTGTGCAGACTTAGAAAATCTCTGTATGGACTGAAACAGTCACCTAGGGCTTGGTTTGACAGGTTCAGAGGGGCACTCATCCATTTTGGATACACACAGACACAATCTGATCACACCCTCTTTGTGAAGAGGAGAGATGCTTTGGTGTCAATTCTGATTGTGTATGTGGATGATATAGTGGTGACAGGAAATGATCTGGAGGATATTGATGATCTCAAAAAATCATTGCAGCAAGAAATTGAAATCAAAGATCTTGGTGAGCTCAAATACCTCTTAGGGATTGAAGTTGCAAGATCCAAACATGGGATCTTCATTTCACAGAGAAAGTATGTACTTGACCTACTGCGAGAGACTAGGAAGCTGGGAACCAAACCAGCAGACACTCCTATTGATCCAAATCACAGAATTAATGGTGTGGATGGTGAATTGGTAAAGGATGTGGGGAGATATCAAAGAATGGTGGGCTGACTGTTGTATTTGTGTATGACACGACTAGATATTTCTTATGCTGTCAGTGTTGTGAGTTAGTACATGCATGCACCTCGGGTTCAGCACTGGGAAGCTATTGAAAGAATACTTGCATATCTGAAAAATCACCCTGACAGAGGCATTCTTTTCTCAAATCATGAGAATTTGAAGATAGAATCCTATACGGATGCAAACTGGGCAGGATGCTTAGATGATAGGAGGTCTACATCAGGAGTGTGTACCTTTGTAGGTAGAAACTTGATCTCTGGAAGAGTAAGAAGCAAGCGGTTGTRGCAAGGTCAAGTGCAGAGGCTGAGTATAGATCCATGGCTCATGGTGTCTCAGAACTTCTTTGGGTTAGATCTCTTTTGAATGAGATTGGGGTGAAAGCAGAGGAACCTGTGATGTTATATTGTGACAATTAGGCTGCAATCAATATTGCCCACAATCCAATTCAGCATGATAGGACAAAACACATTGAAGTTGATAGACACTTTATAAGAGAAAGGGTAACAACCA